TGCCAGGCACTCCACCCTCAGCCCTCTCGGGTCTCCCCCCTCCCTCTCCCTAGCACTACACCCCTGGCTCCCTCTCTATGCCAGGTGCTCCACCCCCTGCTTCCTGCCCCTGACCACCACTATGCCCCTGGCTTTTCCTCTATGCTTGGTGCTCCACCCCCTGTCTCCCCAACAGGACTACGCCCCCTGGCTCCCCCTCTATGCTGGGTGCTCCACTCTCAGCTCTCTGCCCCCAGCCAGGACTATGCCCCTGGCCCACCCTCCATTCTGGTCACCAAGCCCCCTGCCTCCTACCAGCATTATGCACCCCACCTCCTGTGCTTGGCACCCCATTCCCTCTTGAGGACCACACCCTTCTCCCCCTCCTTGCTAGGCACCCACTGTCCTCATCTTTCCTAACTCTGCACCCAACCTTGTTCCTTGACCCAGGTAACTGTACCCAAATCTCACACTTAGCCCAACTGTCCAGTTCTCCTCCCACCCACCCCCTTTTTTTTTTCTTTCTAGCGCCTCTGCACCACACACTAGCTTCTTACTTACCTGATCTCAGCCCCTTTGTACTCAGTCCTTCTGTGGCCCAAAGCTTCTTACTTCCCTGATCTCAGCCCCTTTGCACTCAGTCCTTCTGTGGCCCGATGTGCCTGACCTAGTGTACACTCCAGAATCAACTCTGAAAATTACTTGGACTTGCTTCGATAGTGCAGCTTTGTAGGAAGTGTTAATATAGCATAAATAGAATGAGGGTGCTTGTGGACTGACATGGATAGAATGTGACCCATTAGTTCCACATTTGATTACAATAGGACAAGCACTATTGCAACTGTGAAACTGACAAGATTCTTGTCAATTTGGCTTTACATTGTTTTTTAGAAAGCTTTGAGTCACAGCAGAGGTAAGTAATTGAGTTTATTCAAATGGGAGCGATCGCCCAATATCCAAGCTGAGGCAGGGTACAAAATGGAGATACCCCAAAAATTAGAAGCAGTCAGGCAAAGATTGGCAGAACATTCTGCTAGCATCCATAGGAGTCCTTTTTCTGGCGCAGCCTTCACATGATGGGTTCGTCCCAGACAGAACTACCCTAGGTCTCTCTCACTGCAGCAGCTTGAGGCCAGGTGAGAAGTGCCTCTCTGTGGCCACTGCAGCTCCAGTGAGCACATCCGGGGGAAGAACGTATGTCCAGGTTTGTCTGTTCTCTATGCCCCCCAGCCAGAGTGAGGAATGCAATATACCATGCACTTTCCCTTTGCTCCCTGATAAAGAGGATCAGCATATGTTCCCATATAAATCGGGATGGTGTTTAGCCCTTCCCACCCTCCCTAAAGGGCACCTGGGGCTGGGAGGCTTGGGGCTGGGAGGCTTGAGGCTGAGGTGTTCGGGGTGGGGGAGCACACCCAGACAGCCCCTTTCACCTGCCTGGTGATTGCTTCTCATAAAACCATAGAGAAAAGAGACAGTCCCATTCTAGGCACATCCTGTATTCTTGGCACAACCAAACCCTTACCTTGCTCTATGTTGTGATAAGAGGAAGCTGTGTAGCAAACTTGGTGGTCTGAGTGTGATAAGAGGAAGCTGTGTACCAAACTTGATGGTCTGAGTTCTGACTATTTAGGAGGAGTTCTTGAACAGACAGACAAATACAAATATAGAGTAGATAGCAACTGAATGTACTCAAATCTGAAATACTTCACTTCTTGTAACTTGTTCATATGTCACAATATGTACTTGATTGAGGAGTGCAGGTTGAATGACCCAATCCCTTAAAAAAGATTATCACATTATTTGTCTTGGCGGGGATTTAAAGGATTTGGGTGCCCATATCTCCCTGATTTCATGGACTGTTGGTGGCCCACAAGAGATTTGTTCTTGGTGGATAGGTGTCTAATTGAAATGTAACATCCCTAAATCAACTAATTGAATAGACGATGGAATTTCCATCTAAAAGCAGTGCTCTCTTGCTACTAGTAGGTAAAGACTTGTAATTTCAGCAGAGATGCTGAATTTTGAGAGAGCATGGAGATTGTGCTCATTGCACTACAGGACTGAGGTGCAGGGAAGCTTGCTTTCCAGCTGCCATGACTACACTGCTTCTGTCTGTAAATCAGACTTGAACATTGATTAAAAGAACCAGATTAATGTTGAATATGTGTCAGTCAGACTTGGGCTTTGCTTCATCTGAAGCAATGGGTTTTACCCACAAAAGCTCATGAAACTATATATATTTTTGTTAATCACTAAGGTGTCACATGACTGTTCGTTGTTTTAAAAGTTACAGACTAACACGGCTACCCCTCTGAGACTTATCAGAAGTGTTGTCTTTCTGCAGCAACTGTTTGTTCCGGGCCCTTGGTGACCAGCTTGAGGGGCACTCCAGAAACCACCTCAAACATCGCCAGGAAACAGTGGATTACATGACAAAGCAGAGGGAGGATTTTGAACCTTTTGTGGAAGATGATGTTCCCTTTGAGAGACATGGTAAGGAAGCAGTGGGACACTGGCAGAAGGAGTGATTGTGTAATTCTAAGACAGCTCCCCCCTTGCTGCCTCTCTCTCTGATAGAGGCAACAAGGGGGTGGCGGGAAGTGACTAGTCTAGTAGTCACTTGACTATCCAATAAGCTTAATCTTATCTGACAGTCGACTTCCGTAGTCAAACCCCTTGCCTTTCCCCATCCCAAAGCTACCTTAGAGTAGCTATTCATTCTTCAGATGCGATTTTGTAGACACGCAAGAATTCTTCCACCAAGAAAGCCTTAGGGGAGGATGGGAGGCAAGGAAGATGAGCTGTTAACTGGTGTTGGAATATGCCCAACTACAGGAGCAATTTGGAGAGGCAAAAGGAGCTTAAGAGTATATCTACACAGTAGCGCCAAGATGTAATTGTCAGTTTGGGAAGATATGTACGGGTGATGGCTCAAGCTAGCTGCCTGATTACATACCTAGAGTTTTGGACTGCGTTGTACTCGGGTGTTAGCCCCAACTGTCCGGGCCACAACTGCTATTTTTAATGTGCTTGCTTTATCAGAGCTAGCACATATATGATGTCTACCTGAGTTGGGAATTACACCATCTGCAATGTAGACTCACGGTAAGCGAGTTAGGTGCCTAAATCCCATAGCATTTCAGTGAGTTGTGAGTTCCTTTTGAAAATCTCAGCCTAAATTGTATGAAGCAAAATACAGGACTATGTAGCACTTTAAAGACTAACAAGATGGTTTATTAGGTGATGAGCTTTCGTGGGCCAGACCCACTTCCTCAGATCAAGTAGTGGAAGAAAATAGTCACAACCATAAATTGTATGAGAGTCTGGAGAAACTCTTAAGCAAACAGGCGATACGGGATGCAGTTTTAGTGAGTCAGTACATGGCATGCTTTTTCCTGAATAACTGCTGAGCTAACAACTTCTCATGGTGTTAGGAAAACTGTTGTGCTAGAAGCATTTTGTATAGCGTTTAAAGACTCTCTTAATCTTAATCTCCAATTATCACCTCTAATACTATTAACTCACAGACATCTACCCTTCCCCACCTCTAATATCATTATCTCACAGGCATTCACCTTCTTCCCCTCCCCCCCGCATCCACCTTCTGTTCTGAAATGTGATTTGTCCTTTTCATATGTGTTCATTTTTTTAAATTGTATCCTTTGGTATATATGGCTGTGACTATTTTCTTCCACTACTTGATCTGAGGAAGTGGGTCTGGCACACGAAAGCTCATCATCTAATAAACCATCTTGTTAGTCTTTAAAGTGCTACATAGTCCTGTATTTTGTTTCAGCTACACCAGACTAACACGGCTGCATTTCTATCACTCTCTTAATCTTTGTTATGGTCAAATTCCAACTTCAATAATCACACTCATATATCAGGCATGTTGCTGAGATGAGGTTCTCTTTACCTGCCAGTGTTTCTGTAGGTGTCAAACCCAAATCTCTAACCTCTCCTGCATCCACTCTGAATTTTTTTTAGTTGCCAATTTGGCGAAGCCTGGTACGTTTGCTGGTAATGATGCGATTGTTGCATTTGCAAGGAACAATCAAATGAATGTGGTTATTCATCAGCTCAATGCTCCTCTGTGGCAGGTAAGAATCAATACTGCAGTTTCCTTCTATGGCCTGGCTTCCTGCTAACTAATGCAGATGGTGTTAAATTTGCTGATGTCTCATGTTAGGGTTTGGGTTTTTTTTAATTGTTTTTCTTGGCCAGGGTTTGCTATGATGCTGACTGGCTCTTTTCTACTCCCCCCCCCCCTCCCCCCCCACACACACAAAGTTTCTCCTAAAACTTGAGGAAGGAGATAAGACACTGTAATTTAGGCTTAAAAACAGCTATTGAACATGTGAAACATAAATATGTCTTACCAAACAGTTCTCCTGTAAACTGGCATCTCTCTGTTTAAGCCAGACTTTCCTAAACTGAGGGCTCAGGACTATGTATTGGATTAATGTTTTGATACTGAATTAAGGTTGGGGAAAGTTTGTAGTGGCGGTGTGCTTTAGGAGTTAGGTTAACTGCCTCACCACAATTATTTTTTTTTCTAACAAAAGAGTCAGTGTTGTGATGAGACCTTTTGATGCCAGTTGTGTGTGAAGCTCTGTCCGTTGATGTTCTGGGGAAGTGCAGAGTGAGTTAATGCGTTGACATGGGTTGGATAGAATGTAAAGTTCCTGCCATAACTCTGCAGGCCGAATTAACATTGGCCAAAGCAGTATTGATTTAGCTACAGGAACTAGGGATTTAGTAGTATAGTCGATTAACTGATGAGCAAAAGCTTATAGGTTAATACAATAGACTACATGCACCTTCTCCCCCTGCCAGTAAATTTTTAGCAGGTTGGTCAGCAGCATGGCTCAGTCCCTGCTTGCCAGATCTGGGACCTACCTCTGCTGTGGCTCTGCATTTAAAGTGTATGAAGAGCCTTCGGGCAGGCAACTTGGCTTAGTTCTGGCTCATACTGGGTCTGGGAGCTCAGACCCCTTCCTTAGATAGGGGCTGCTGCAAAACAGCT